ATGGAGTGGAAAGGGAGGGGAGGTTTGATAGATAGAGGGTAAGTGGTAGGACTGCACCTATGGAGCATATCGCAAGGGTACACATCAAATTTGTCAAGTGTAGAACATAAATGTCTTAATACAATAGTCAAGTGAATGAGGCAAAAGTTGTGTTGATTGTTTTGATATAACCACATTAGATTGTATTAAAAAAACCACATTGTACCCCACATATGCATAAATATATTCATGATCTATGTGTATATGACTTAATAAAAAAGAAAATAAATAAATAAATTTGAAAGTTAAAAAAAATCAATGTTAAAATGTCTCTATTATCCAAAGCAATCTACAGATTTAATGTAATCCTTATTAAAATACCAGTATCATACTTTCAAGAACTTGAAATAATAGTTCTTCATTTTGTATGTAATAAAAAAAAGTCTCACATATCCAACACAATTCTTAGTAATAAAACCAAAGCAGAAGCATCACTCTACCAGAATTCAGGTTATATTACAAGTCCACAGTGATCAAAATAGCATGGTATTGAAATAAAAATAGAGACATATATATATGGAACTGAATAGAAAATCTAGAGATGAAACCACCTTACATCACCATCTGACCTTTGATAAACCAAACTAAAGCATACACTGCGGAAAAGAATTCCTATTCAGGCTTGGCACCTGTAGCTCAAGCGGCTAAGGCACCAGCCACATATACCAGAGCTGGCGGATTCCAATCCAGCCTGGGCCTGCCAAACAACAATGAAAACTACAACCAAAAAATAACTGGGCATTGTATCGGGCACCTCTAGTCCCAGCTACTTGGGAGGCTGAGGCAAGAAAATCACATAAGCCCAGGAGTTAGAGGTTGCTATGAGCTGTGATGTCATAGCACTCTACCCAGGGTGACATCTTGAGGTTCTGTCTAAAAAACAAAAGAAAAAGAAAAAGAAAAAAAGAATTCCTATACAATACATGATGCCGGGAGAACTGGATAACCACATGTAAAAGACTGAAAGTGGACCTGCACCTTTCACCACTTACAAAAACTGACTTGCAATGGATAAAGAATTAAATCTTAGACACAAAATGATAAAAATCTTAGAAGAAAGCATGGTACAAACTCCTGATCATATTGGCCTGAGGGAAGACTTAACAAACAAGACTCCATTGGCAACAAAAATAAATGACAGGGTGGCACCTTGGCTCAGTGGGTAGGGCGCCAACCCCATATGCTACCAAGGGCAATAAAGTGAGATTCTGTCTCAAGTAAATAAATGAATGGGACTTAATTATGTTCAAAAGTTTCTGCACAGCTTCAGACACAATATTAAAGCAAACAGACAACCTTGGAAATGGGAAAATACATTTGTATGTTATGAATCTGACAAAAGATGAATAACTAGAATCTATAGAGTATTCAAATTAATCAACAAAACATAGCAAACAATGACATCTATTACTGTGTGAGAGACTTGAACAGAATATTATTCAGCCATAAAAAGATGGAGATTTTTATATCTTTTATGTTAACCTGGATATAGTTGGAGAACATTCACTTTAGTACAGTATCACAAGAATGGAAAATCAAGCATTCAGTGTATTCATTTCTAATATGAAGTGAGTAGAGGAATATATACCCACATGAGAGAAAAACTAATATACACCCTTGGAGAGAACTAATACATGCCCATAGAAAAGAAACACCCACACAAAAATCTCAATTTAACTCAATTTTGGGGGGAGGGGTAGTTATGGGGTAGAAGGAGATTAGTGTGCTCTCACCTAGTTGACGCAATGTAATGGTATATAGCATACCTGGATGAGGGCCAAAACTACAACAGGGAATTCATCTAACAAATCCAAACATTGTAACCTAATCATTTGTACCTTCATATTAATCTGAAATTTTTAAAAAAATTGTTAGTGTATAAAAATATAATTGACTTTTGTATGTTGATGTTTTTGAATCTTATTGGGTGGGCTTATTGTAGCTGTTTTTTAAATTGCTATAACCTCTAGGGTATTTTTATATATAAGAGTTCCTTATGTGTAAACAGAGAATTTTAATTCTCCCTTTCCTATTTTAATGCCTTTTATTCTTACCTAATTGCTTGGGGTCTATCTTTTAGTACTATGTTGAATAAAGTGCTCAGAATAGACTTTCTTGTCTTGTTCCTTATACTACATGAAACACTGTCATTGTTGTTGACTATAATGGTATCTAAGGGCTTGTTTACGTGATCTTATTGTTTTGAGATCCATTCTTTTTTTTATTGTTGGATATTCATTGAGGGTACAAAGACCCAGGTTACACTGATTGCATTTGTTAGGTAAAGTCCCTCTTATAATTGTGTCCCATCCACAAAAGGTGTATCACACACCATGTCCCTCTCACCCCATCACTCATTCCTTCTCTCTGCTCTCCCTTTCCCGAAACTCCCACCTTGTACTAGGTCATCTATTGTCCTCATATCAGAATTGAGTACATAGGATTCTTGTGACTCCATTCTTGTGATGTGTTACTAAGAATAATGTGTTCCACTTCCATCCAGGTTAATACAAAAGATGTTAAGTCTCCATCTTTTTAATAGCTGAAGGGCTGATGGTTGGTGGGCATTTAGGCTGTTTGCACATTTTGGCAATTGTAAATTGAGCTGAGATAAACAGTTTAGTGCAAGTGTTCTTATAGAAAAATAATTTTTTTCTTCTGGGTAGATGCCCAGTAATGGGATTGCAAGATCAAATGGGAGGTCAAGTTTGAGTTCCTTGAGGGTTCTCCATACTTCCTTCCAAAAAGGTTGTATAAGTTTGCAGTCCCACCAGCAGTATAAAAGTGTTTCCTGAATTGGAACCAGATGAGGTTGTCCTCTATCGCCGCTACTATTCAACATAGTGTTAGAAGTTCTAGCCAATACAATCAGGCAAGAGAAGGAAATGAAGGGCATCCAAATGGGAACAGAGGAGGTAAAACTCTCCCTTTTTGCTGATGATATGATCTTATATTTAGAGAACTCAAAGACTAAACCACAAGATTCCTGGAAGTGATCAAAGTACAGTAGTGTCTCAGGATATAAAATCAATGTCCACAGTCAGTAGCTTTTGTACACGCCAATAACTGCCAAGATTAGAAGTAATTAAGGACACAATATTTTTCATAGTATCTTCAAAGAAAATGAAATACCTAGAAACATACCTAATAAAAGAGGTTAAGGAACTCTATAAAGAAAATTATAAAACCCTAAGAAAAGAACTAGCAGAAGATATTAACAAATGGAGATCCATACTTTTGAATGTATACCTTTTTAATTTTTAATCATGAAAATGTATTTAATTTTGTCAAATGCTTTTAATAAAACCCTTGAGATGATTAAAAAAAACGTGATGAGTGAAGTTTTATATCTAAGAAGCTAACACAGATAAACAAGACATTAAATAATGGTTAAAATAATCAGAGAAAATAATAACAGTAACTGTCATAGTACAGATATGCCTATACCATAAGTCACTATAAAAGCAGAAAATCCTCCTCTTAGCTACTTTTCAAATGGAAATTTAGGATTACAGCTATGTTGAACAAATTTTCTTCAGGATGCCTACTTGTATCAAGCTTCACACTTTTCTGTTTAACCATTTTTTCATCTTTTAGTAGTAGATCTAACATTTCCCCATTTTATGTTTTCCTTAACGATGTCAAACCAGATTAATCTTCTGATTCTCAAAATTCATGTTAGTACTTTGAGTAACAAGTAATTTAAGCTTAAATAATCAAAACAACTTTTTTTTTCTAGAAAATAATGTTTCCTTCCTATGAATCCCTAGCGTGCACTTTTTGGTACCAGCTTGTAGTACTTGTTTTTTTATTCTTCCTCCTACAGATACTTTTATGTTTTTCTTATCAGTCCAACTAAATTGTAAGTTCCCTAAGGTCAGGGCTTATATTTTATTCATCTTTACCTATCATAAAATTCTGAGCATAGTGTATTGCAATCAGTTAATACATTACCTTGTTCTATTAGGTGAGCAATAAGATTGTGAACATTTCCAATCGGGCATCACAACTTCTGCTTCTTTCTAATGCCTACAGTACATAGGTTATGTCTAGGCATGTTGATGTGTAATGTATACTTGTTGAGTCATGTTTACTAAAATATCTTATATGCTAGCTAACAGTCCTATGTACAGAAGTTTTGATATATATATTCAGATGAACAGACAAAATAGTCCTTAACTTTACTCTCATAAATAAACAAATAGATAAAAAATTTATACATGGAAAAATTCAGAAATTGAATTTAGAATTTGAAGAAAGGTGCTATGGTCTGATTGTTTGTGTCCCCCTACAATTCATATGTTGAAACCTAATCTCCAGTGCCATTGTATTAAGAGGTAGAGCATTTGGATGATGGTTGGTTATGTCATAAGAGCTCTGCTTTCATAGATGAAATTAGTGCCCTTATAAAGGACATCTAATAGTACTTGGTAGCATCTTCCCCATGTGAGGAAACACAGAAGACACCATCTATGAGGAATGGGCCCTGACCAAGCACTGAGTCTGATGATGCCTTGATCTTGGACTTCCCTACCTCCAGAAATATTACCAATAAATTTGTTGTTTATAAATTACCCAGTCTAAGGTATTTGGTAATAGTAGCTCAATTAGACTGAGATGGAAAGTAAAAAAGAAAATTAGCAGTATAGAAAATAAATTTTGTGAAAGTAAATTTCCAATAAGCTTAAGAAAAATTACAGAAAGGATTGGAAAGTCATATAAATTCCTTCATTGGTATAACTAAAAAATTATGCTTATGCTTATAAATATTTAGCCACAGAAATGTTTGGAGGCAAGGGGAAAATATGAAATGACTTTCTGTATGACCACATATGTATGACTACTACAAATAATAAAAAAGAGATAATCTCTGTAAGTGCACTCTTGACAACTATAATAGTTGCCCCCTTTACTCCCTAAACAAACACAAAAGACAAATAATCAGACTCTACTATGCTTACAAGTGCATTTCATGCATGTCATTGTTGAGGAACATAACTCAATGACCTGAACAGCAGAAGATCCTGGTTCCTCTGCTCGTACTGTCAAAATGGAAATCTAAAAAGCAGAAAAGACAGAATAGGCAGGCATAACTGTTAGGCCTCACTTTTATTCTTTTACCATTATTGTTGCTAACTTCCAAACTGAGTATCTTTTTTTCAAACATTCCTTGATGTCTGAAAAGGTTTGGCATGTTGGGATTTAATTTTAGAATAGAATTTGAAACATATAACATGCACCCACATGTCTTAGTAAGTAGTTTCTGCATCATTTATACTTATACGTCATATATCTTGTGTCCATAAAGTTATCATAGACAATAAATATTTCAAATACCCTTAGTATTTATTAAATCCTTCACTTACTACAGATTGAGTATCCTTAACCTGAAAATCTAGATATTTCTAGATATCTAAATATTTCTATCTTATATATCTAGATATTTATTTCTATATCTAAATATTTCAAATACCCTTAGTATTTATTAAATCCTTCACTTACTACAGATTGAGTATCCTTAACCTGAAAATCTAGAATCTGAAATACTCCAAAATCTAAAACTTTTAGAACACTGACATGACACTCAAAGGAAATACTCATTAAAGCATTTCAAATTTCAGATTTTTTGATTAGAAGCCCTCAACAATTAAAATATTTCAAAATCCAAAATAAAAAAATCTGAAATTAAAACACTTTGATTCCTAAGCATTTCAGATAGGAGATATTAAACCTATATTTCTAAAGAATACAATTACAACTTATTTATTCTGAAATATATATACTTTGTATTTGAAATTAGAGAACTAAAAATTAAAGTTGTTGCCCACCTCAATGATTGAAACAAGGAAAGTAAATACATACTGAAATTCTTCCTAATTAGCTATTTCAAATTAATTTAGGGGTAGCCATTAATAAAACTAGAAACTCAGACACAAAAGTTAAATAAAAAGTTATTAATTAATTGATATCTAGTATTCTGTCCTACTAATATGCTATATGGCTTTATGGGTAAAATACTTTAAATAACTTTCATATCATAGAGTCTAAAGTTTCAAATTAATCCTCAAAATAATCTTTAGTCTCAAGAAATTATATCCTCTCATATGGGAAATACTTGCCAAAAGGGAAAGCCCCATTTTTACTACTCTCTGTAAGTGCAATGATAGATTTTGAGTGGAAATGTTACATTGACAGTTCACGGAGGAAACACCTACAACAAATTCCAAAAATAGAAATTATTTTCATAATCTTGAGTATCCTACTTATATATGTACTTTAGATCTCAAGATGTCTGAAAAATTGAGTTTTTCGTATGCTTAATTCTCTTTACACTGTCTATGATAGAAAAGCCACCAAGAAATTTAATAGTGTATAATTAAATTATTATAACTAAAAATAAGATCATAATAGGAAAAGTAAAGGACTTTATTGACAAGTAAGAACTTTTTTGGTTCCTATAACTATCATCATTTTTTTTTTTTTTTACTGTGACATGCTCAGCAACCTCTTACCACCTGAACTCTAAGAAGTTAACTATCTCAAACCTCATAGAAATTACGAAACCTACCAAAGAGAATTCCCTCAATCTTCTAATACCACATCCATAAAACCCATTTACCTGGGTCCATAACTATTCTTTCCTCTCTCAAAGTCTCATGGTTCTATCTATGCCTCAAAACTAAAAAGAAAGGGAAGGGCACAAGGTGGAGGAAGAAAATTACCCATAGAAAACAAAGATAGGTAGGCCAGAAGGACAAACATGAAGGAGATGAGAGGGAGAGTGACAAGTGGCTGTCACCAACACTTACATAGAGTTGAAACCATGAGAATACACTGAGTCATCTAGCAAGTGTTAAAAGAACAATATATACTGTAGACTCAGGCAAGAATCCTAAGAAGACCCAATATTTAACGACAAGGTACAGGAAACAGAGCCCATTAAGAAAGCAGAGAAGGAACAGCCAGAGTCATGAGAACAAGGAAAGCACAGTGTCATGGAAGCCAAAAGAGTTCAGAGCTTCAATAAAAGGAATAACATTGTGTCAGATGTGTCAGAAAAGACCCCAAAATTGTTCCCTCATCCTATCATGAAATTATTAATGAACTCAGCAAGATAAATTATATGTGAGATTAGAAATTGGGTTCGAGTGGTTTAGAAATAATGGGACGTAAGGACTTGGAGGCAACAAATATAGACACTGTCTTGAAAATGTTGATAAGAGGAAGAGAGAGATTGGATACTAGCTAGAGATGGGGGCAGAGTCAAAGGGATAGGTTTTTTATTTGTTTGTTTTTAATTTTTATTTCTAAACAGAAAATTCTAGTAAATACACACAGGTTAAGGGGAAAATGCCAGTGGTAGGAAGAGGCTGAATATACAGGAGAGAGAAGGAAATACAGAGTGGGTGTGTGTGTGTTTGTGTGTGTAAAGAATACTTCCCAAAGGGGCAAGATTTAGACAACAAGGGGGGTACCTTCATTTGTCCCTAGACTGGTACACATATGTTGCAGGTGGTAGGGCAGGAATTCAAGGGCCATTGTGTATGCTCAGCGGCCTTGCTTTACTCCGTGTCATGGTGGTAGGGGATCTGAGAGGGTAAGTGTGTGAGAAGCATGATCAAAATAATAAAGACTTGGACTAGTAAATGAGAGGAAAGGAAAAGAGAAGCCAGTGGTGGTGGGTTCTTGAGGGCGTAGCTGAATGATGCTGGCATGCATAACTTTATGGCAGTGCCTGTTTGGTTGTAAAATTTTCTCAAGCAGCCATCAGAGATACAGCTGCAGATTATACTCTAACCTAGAAATGATATTTTCCTCTGCATGTGGTAGAAGGACGTGGTGACGTGGCAATTGAGGGTGTTGGGAGAAAGGATAGTTCAGAAGATCCACCTTGGGGTCTAGGACAGGGAAAAGGAAGAGGGGAAAAGGGAGATGATAAACTACAAAGAAATGGAGGGGCAGGGAATTATAGATCCCTTATGAGGCTAGGTGGAAGATAGTAAGCTGGAAGGATAGGAGCAGATCAATGGCACTGTAGATTCATTACCTTCTGACTAAAGTGGGCCATTAACACTATACAGCAATCTGACCATGAGATACTCTAACTGTTCACGGAGATTATTTTGTATTTTTCCTTGAGATTTGACTCATACTCACTCACACATCCCTATTCTCAAGAGATGACCTTATTTTCTGGAAATTAATAGAATAAATGGAATCTATCAGATGGGAACTCCCAGATCTATAAATAGTCCTGCATTCATCTTCTTGTTTCAACTTGTCTTAATCCCGACTAAAGGCAACACTTTTGCTTGTTTTCTGAGTCATCTACTCTTCCCTGGCCTCTGCTTGGACCTTGATCCATCAATCATTCTCTTTTTGCGTTGGTATCTTCAACCTCTTCCTCTTTACGGGCTCCATCCTATCATCTGAAATATGTACTAATATTTTAAAGGAAAGAAAAGCCTTCTTCACTTCAGCCTCCCTATTCAGAGACCAGTCTCTTTTACTCCTCACAGCTGAGCTTCTTCAAAGAATCATCTCTGTTCTCTTCACTTTTTGGCCTCCATGGCACCCTTTGAACCACTCACAAAACTTGTAACAGGAGTTACAGACATGTCAAATAGTAATTGTGGGACAGTGTGATATGACAGCTGTTATACCATTTCTTATATTACACTCATGCTCACATGTGTCACACTGAACTATAGTTGCTATTTATTTGTCTGTATCCCTATCCTCCAGACAGCAAATTACTTGTGGGTGGGATGCTATCATGGATACCACTACATAGAAACCAGTACACTGGCTGGCAGGTAAAAGGCATTCATTATTTACTGAATGGTCAAATAAAAGTATAGATGCTCAACACATATAACAAATGTATGTAGGGGTTTTTGTATATAATGTTCATTTGTTAGCAATAGATATTGGGGCCATTAATTTACTTTATCTATTCATGTGTTTGTTTTTGTTTTATGTAAAACTTCCAACTAAAGGAATTTTAGGAGCTTTTCTTTAGCAATAGCATAAAGAATTGACAGTTACACCTACTGAGTAAGCCAACTGTATCAGTCAGTTTGATACATAATACAAATATAGTAAGAAGGAGAATTGGGTATACCCCTGGAATTTAACTGATCAAACTGTAGAAAAATCTAAGGCATAATGACATTCCTATGAAATTGGGGATGAGAAGGAAGAGGGTACTGAAATGGAAAATAATGGTGAACAAATACCATAACTAAGAATCTATGTTGAAATGCATTCATACCAAGCCTAATGGTGTATTATCACTGCTACTATGAGGCTGGCTACTGTAAAGTCTTTTACTCCAAGATTTTTAAATGTATTTTCTGGGGACTCTTTTTTCCTTTCTGTAACAATACATTTTCAATTTCACACAAATAGTTGTCAAAACTTAGCATATAGCCCAATTTACACAAATTAAGTCTACTATATAAAATGTGATGATTTGATCCGATAGATGGAAGTACTTAAGAAAACAAAGCCCTCATATATTTTTTAAAAAACATGTTGGAAAGTAATACATGTTAATATTCCTAACCCAAAAATGGTCCAAAATCCAATACTTTTTGAGCGTCCACATGATGATCAAAGAAAATGCTCATTAGAGCATTTCAGATTTCAGATTTTCAGACTAGGAATGCTCGACCAGTAAGTGTAATGCAAATATTCCAAAATAAAAAAAAGAAACAAACAAAACAAAAAACCAAAGTAAACCCTAAATACTTCTGGACACAAACGTTTCAGATAAGTAACATGTTAGCTTTAGTAAACCTGGCTTAATGCACTTTATTTTCCCAGTATTGACTTACACGTATTAGCAAGTAGATTAAATTAGCAACTATTTTATTGAGAAGTAGAGGATTCAATGAAATATCACCTTATACCTGTTAATATGGTTATCATCACAAAAACAAGAAATAACAAGTGTTGGTGAGGATATAGAAAAAAGAGAACATTTGAACACTGTTGGTCGGAATGTAAATTGGTACAATCATTACAGAAAACAGTATGAAGGTTCCACAGCAAAAAAAAAAAAAAAATGAAAAATATAACTATCATATGATCCAGCAGTTCTGTTTCCAGATATCCATATCCAAAAGAAATGAATTCAGTATTTCAAAGGTATTTGCATTCACATGTTCACTGCACCGAACTATTTGTAACAGCCAAGATTTAGAAACAATGAAGTATCTGGCAACAGATAAAAGGATAAAGAAAATATGGTGGGAAGAAGGTGTGAGCACATGAGTGTACACAGGCACACATACACAAACAGAGGAATATTGTTAAGCCCTAAAAAAGGAAAACCTGCCATTTATGGCACCATAGATGAACCTGGAAAACATTATATACACAGAAAGATAAATATTATCACACATGATCTCATTTATGTGTGTTACCTAAAAAGTCAAATTCATAGAAGCAGAGAGTAGAATGATGGTTTACAGCAGCTGGGAAGTAAGCAAAATGTGGAAATTCTGGTTAAAGGACATAAACTTTCAGTTATTCAGGAAGAATAAGTGTTAGAGATCTAATGTATAGCATCAAGACCATAGTTAATAAAACTGTATTATATGATCTTAAATATTCCTACCACAAAAAAAGGGAAACTGTGTAAAATGATGCATCTGTTACCATAATTACCCTGAATGTAGTAATCATTTCACCATATATATGTATATCAAAATATCATGTTGTACACCTTAATACATATAACTTTCGTTTTAAAGTATAGGACTGAATTTACCTGTTGGCCTGAATCCATTTTTAGTACATATATATCTGTAATGAAGACTGCCCTTGAGATCAGTCTGTAATGCACAAAACAATAAAGCAGTGATTCACATTTCATGGATAAGTTTTATTTATAGCTACATAACCATGAGAAGGCATGTTTCAAAGATTTAAGTGAGGAAAACACTGTCACCTCCTCAAACAAGTCAAATTGTGCTTTAATCTTTCCTTGGGTAATGAAAGAAGGATACATGACCTACAGCCAAATGTCAGCTGAAGCAAAGGATTTGAAATCAAACCCAGATCCTGAAAGAGTGGTAAGATAGAGAGTGTATCTTTGGTTTGGCATACATTTGTACGCTACTTGAATAACAGAATTACATGGAAATGTCAACACAATCACACAGCTACATTTTCCTAAGTTTGGTCTTCTTTTGTCTAATGGATGTAGGAGTGCCTTACGTGTATCACACATGTGAACATATATTTTCAGAAAAATAACTGTCCTCCACAAGGAAATGCTAAGAGATTATTCTCTGACCAAACTGATCTATAATTGGGGCAGCACCTGTGGCTGAGAGGAGTAGGGCAATGACCTCATATGCGGGAGGTGGTGGGTTCAAACCCAGCCCCGGCCAAAAACTGCAAAAAAAAAAACAAAAAAAAACTGATCTATGATTACTTTACATCTATAAAGAAGATAAGCATACCAAGAAAATTGTATTAATTATCAAATAATTAAGAAAATAACATAATCACCTACCAGTTTTATAGCTAATATCAATTTCTGATAAAAATAAGATTTATAAATTGCCTATTATTCTGCCTTTTCTGACATATAACTGACACTAACTTACAGAATTTATATTCTTGTTGCTATTTTAAGATCTTTTGAACTGTAAAATGAACTTAGAATACAACTTAAATGCTTTTTGAATGCCATTAATAAGAATAAAGTTAGGATGATTATTTAAAGTACAATAATAAGCCTTCCTAATGCTTAGGAACATAGAAGCTTTTACTTTGTTCAGAAAATAGGCTATTTTCCCCCTAGCTCTAAGAAAAGAGGAACAGAAAAGTCAGTAGCTTTCACAGCCTGTAAAAGCCACAAAGGCTTTTTATTTTTCTTTTAAGTGTTGCTTTCTCTTTTGTTCAAGAATAGCTATCTAGTCACACATTTGATAATATTTTAAACAGAAAAAAAGGGATAGAGCTTCTTTTTATATCTGTTTTCACTTTACTTCAAAGGATGGCCCCAGAAAGATTTGTTTTAAGTACTATTTCCAAACAAGAAAAACACTTATGGATAGACATCATCAGGTCTCTGTCATCTGATTGTCATCTGATTCTGAGTTGAGACAATGAATTATATGGAACTCACCATTGACCTTCTTTCAATGTGTCTAGATAAAAGGATGAAAATTGGAATCCATCTCCTTGTAGTCCAATGAGTTATAAATGTACTTTATAGGGCTCATTATCCAAAGTAATAGACTAAGGGTGACATCCTTGAAATGGACTTATTAGCACTGACAAAGCCAGTATGTAATACCAGGAACTATATGCAAATGATTATGTATTTACTATATCCTTTTATTAAGGAAAGTTCACTTTGTTTTTGTTACAGCTTCTCCTTTTGGTACCAGAATTATTTTATTAGAAATACACATGTATTGGGCGACACCT